CTATGTATCGTTATGTTGTTGGAGCAATTTGTTTCTATTAATACTCACACTTTTCCCTATGTAGAAAATACAGTTACTACATTGAATCAAAATGTCTTCATGTTTAAGAAGACAGAAATGTTCACTACCCTGATTTGATCACTACACACTGCACACATCTATCAAATTCAAACTGGACCTCATAAACTTGTATAATTAAAATAATCATTCATTTTTGAAGAAAATAATGTTTTGTCCTTACCTCCTTAAAGATAGTGAGATACATTTGAAGCCTAAAACATGTCACAAAAAGGAAGTACTAGTTTGCTGGTTCAAAAGTAAACATCCTTGAAGTTCTTCTTTTACTAACTTACTTACTTAAATACTCTCATAGCTGAGTCCCCATGCTTGACTAGGCTGGAATATGACAGCCCTGCAGTTATGGACAACTGTTCATTGTGCATTTTCCAAAGTTTTCAGCACAAGAAGAAAGGCTTTCCTTTAAAGCACAATGAAGGTACAGAGACATTCTCATATAGTTAAAAAATAATTAAGATTAAATCACAACAGTATTACTCTTCTGAATGTGGCAAAAATGTCTTTAAACAATGAATGTATTAGTTCTAATGCAAAGTCTTCTCTAATACAGTAAAAGTTGACATCAGTGTCTTAATTAAGAAATTTAGATGAAGGTCATTTTTAAGCACACACTTAGGCCAGAATTGATCATGGAGTGTGAGTTAGTAGTTCCCATGTGAGGCTGTTGACTTCTCCATTAGGACAGATTGATTACCTTAAACACAACCATTTCTGTCTTTGGTTTTGAGCAGCTGGAACTGCAATACTGTCAGAAGAAGCTTTCTTAGCCCCGTGATAGGAAAAGCAACCGTGCTTTGGCCAATTGTGAAATGACCTCTATGTGCTTAGAATGAAGTCTTTTGTAATCATTTGAGCCAGCAGAATGGTGGCTGCAACAAAAAACCACAAAAACTACTCACTAAAGTGTAGAAGGAACCAGGAACTGACAGGGCTGCCATCGAAGATGTCTGAATATCATGGAGCTGACATTGCAAATGCCAGCCTGCCAGCATCAGTTCATGGCACTTTTCATGTCCAGGTGCCTGATCTCTGGACAATAGGCTCCTTACAGAACTCTTGCCACCAAAAGAGGAGCTTGGTCATGTGCCAGTGTAGTCTCAAATCCATTTCATGCTACCAAGCTATGCTAATTGTTGAGCAGAAGTTTATAAAAGAGAACAGGAAGTCTGTTGTGGCCAAGGCAATTTGTAGTGGTCTGAAAGCATCTTTTTCTCAGAAAGGAAATTCTTTGTAACCATATTAATATCCTTAACAAATATGATTTTATACTCCTTATTGATCGATGTATTTTTGCTTCAACAGAGAAACAAAAAAATCCAAAATAAGCTGGAGAGTACTATAATTTTTTTTTTTTTGGTGGAACTGGGCTTTGAACTCAGGGTTTCATGCTTGCAAAGCAGGTGTTTTACTGAATCACACTTCCAGTCCATTTTGCTCTGGTTATTTTGACATGGTCTCTGGAAAACTATTTGCCCATGATGGCCTCAAACTGCAATCCTCCTGATCTCAGTCTCCCAAGTGGCTAGGATTACAGGTGTTAGACTCTGATACTCAGCTAAGAGCACCATAATTTTTAAAGTTGAAACTTTATGGAGACCTTTTGGTTTTTCAAGAAAATAGTCCAGTATCATAACAAGTGACAACTGAGATCAGTAGCACGTTTTAGGCATGCATTATATATGTATATTTCTTTTCTTATGCCTTGCATATGTTGTACAAGATTTTAGATGAGCAACAGCTGCATGAATATTATAAAATAAGGTTCTAGATTTGTCACAGGGTTTCATAAGAATGAGTCAACTGCAGTTGTCTTAGTAAAGAATCAACATTATTTCCTGACTATAGATCATCAGGAATTATTCAAGGCACTGTACTTAGGATAAGGTTGTCTTTATAACACTATCTGAATGAGTTAGTCTCGTATATTATGAATATTAACTTATGTGTTTTGGAGTTTGTGCTATATGACCTCACTAATTAAGTAACTATGTGATTACTGTTCTTAGAAACTTCCATCCACATTCCTGAACTTATCATTAAAGAAAAACTAGTTAAGCCAGTTAACTATTCACTCTATTCCACTGTTTCACCGAGCTGTAATTGCCGTGGGCAATCGATTTACAAGGTAGCTTCCTTTAGAGTAATGTTTCTGTACTCCCCATCAGATTTAGAGTATTTTAGAGCAGGTATTTAAAAAAAAAAAGGGCAGGAAAATAATGGAGCACTCTTACATCCTGTTTTGTACAAAAAATTGTTGCAAAGTATTATTTGCAATGTAAAAACATTTTGAAATTAGAGAAAAATATCCCTAATGTTTGCAGTATATTTTACTACATAATATTACCTGGAAACCAAGCATGTAATTCTGTGTATCTGTGAATTATCTGTCTAAATAAGAAACAAAGTCATCTCCAAGTAATTGGAATGTAGCAATAATCCCCAAAGCTCAATTTAGGCATGATTTTTAGTCTTCCACTCCAAATTTTCAATAGAGTTTATTTACTACTTCTCTTCTAACAGTGAATAACACAAAAGAAGCAACTTGAAAGAAGAAATTCAAAAGGAGTTAGAAATATAAAATACAAATGAGATCTAGTTTGGATCTACCATACTTTGCTTGGGAAGTAACCACTTCCTGGTCCATCTACATGTTTGCAATTGTTCCCTGTGTCTACGCTTGGTTTGAAATAGCAGTCACAACTATTCCAAATCAAATCCTGGGGAGCATGCAGTGGTCCTGGGAGCTCAGTCTACAGTTGTGATTTAAGATAAGCATTTATTTTTATTCTATGAAGTCTTTGGAACATTGCCTTTTCAGTTTTCATGATCTAATCTTGTTAGAGTCACATAACATTCTTCCTCTTTCACAGTGTCGAAATCCATGCTTCTAATATGCGTGCACATACATATCACACAGATAAATTTATGCATTACATGCACTCACACCTGCACAGACACATGCTGTACATGTGCACAGTACATAAACTTACATCACATATACACACACTCAAATGCACACTCTTACGCATGATCTCATCTAACCCCCACATTGAACATGCAGACACACTCATACTCTATGCTGAGTGACATACACCACACACTCACACACCATAGACTCTCATATATGTTTACATAGTCATCCATCCTTACACCAAAAAACATAGAATACTCACACATACTCAAAAACTTTAACAGATAATCAACTAAGCACCAAACGTTAAACTAAAGTCATAGCAATGACAACTGACAAAAAATTTCACTTATATCAGGAGTGATCAAAGGGAGGATTTGAAGAAGATCTGAGTATGAGGTTAGAAGAAAAGGAATTATGCATACATTGCTGCTTATGGCAGCAGAGCTGGCCTCCAGGGCTGTGAACTCAAAAGACAAAACTCCCTTGACCCCTATCCTGCTCATCTTCTCTAATACTAAAGAGAGGTTTTCAGATTCTCATCTGTTCAAACAATTAATCTTAAAAAAACTCCCTTCATCTGGACCAGTTTAAATGAACCCTTGTTTGTGTGTTACAAGCCCTAATGAGTCTTTTCTTATTGGGGGATATTGATAGAAGGGACTCAAGAATTGGTCCCGTGGATGTTACAGACTCATCCTCTAGCACCATATAACCACAATGGTGTACAGACTAACGCAAGCCAATCACTGCTGATGCACACTTACTGCTTTAGGCAAAACCATATTTCTCTCCAACTTGATGGAGCTGAAGACACATAAAGAGGAAATAACGTGCTGGTGAAGATGCAGGGGAATATGTAAAAGGGTGACTGTTGGGGAGGTGGTGACCAGCAAGACAGGAGAGAGGGGACAAGAGAGGGTTGTGGGGAGGAAATATGAATGAAGTATATATTGTATACCTGTATGAAAATGTCATAGTGAAGCCCATTAATTCTTTTCAGTACCGGGGATCAAACCCAGGACCTCGTACCTGCTAAACAAGCACAGTGGTACTGGAGTTACACCCCGAGCCCTTTTGTTTTTATTTTGTTTTTGAGGTAGAGTCTCGCTAACTTTGCCCTGACTGGCCTCAAACTCACAATCATCCTATCTCCATCTCCATCCTATCTGCATCACCACATTGGGCTTATTTTGTACAATAAAAACTAAATTAAAGTCTGGAGGCTTGGCTCAAGTGGTAGAGCTCTTGCCTAGCAAGTACAAAATCCGGAGTTTAAACTACAGTACTGCTAAATAGAATATTAATTAATTAATTTTTTTAAAAAAGGAAACAAGCTATGAAATTCTATTCTAGATGTTTTAAGAGTACTTTATATTTCACTTTATGTATATATATATATTTAATAGGATGGGGTTTTTTAGCACATAAGTTGAAAACCATTTTGCTTATTTCAGCAAAAATAATAACATTTAAAAAATGTGACCTATTTTCATCAAGGTCCAAATTTACTGCTCATTCTTTCCTCCCACCCAACTGTAGTACCTGCACACACACAGCTCCTGTGAGGGGCTAGGATTACCTTGTTGATATTTAAGAGATTACTTTCAATAGGATTAAACTAACAATGATTTTGTAAATTTTTGTCATCATTTCAGATTTATTTTTAGCAGGAAAAGCAACAACAATTTAAAAACAATATTCCAGTAGGAATAAACAAAGGTCTAAATGTACAAATGCTTCCAATTTTGTTTTTTGAGAGAAAACAAAATTATGAGCTGCTCTGATAAAAGAGTAACTATAATAATGCTAGTAGTGGGAGTCAAAGGAATGTTTGGATCTTCTTTCACAGAGCTTAAATTGTTAAGAAGCACCAATTTTCCCTGTCTTGTTATCTTTTATGTACCAAGATCTAAAATCTAAAACAACTGACCTGTTGTGTTTCTGGAATAGTGGTCTGCTCCACACCTTTAAGTTGGAAGGCTTAATTACTTTTCATTGTTTCCTTCAGACAGCCACTGTTTCTTGGGATATCCGGACCTTGTACTCAACCGTACCTGAAGACGCAGAGCACAAAGCAGAAAATTTGCTGGTAAAAGAGGTAATGTGATGGTTTTAATCTGTTATTTTATAAAACCTGCTTTCCCCACAGGGCGTTCTCAGTGTCATTTACTATTAGTGGAATTACACGTGCTCTGAGTAGTTGTATTTTCACCCTCGTCCTCTGTAGGTGTGTTCACCTTCCTGTTAATCATTTTTCATTATCTAGTGACTGTTCAAGTTTTAGACTTTGCGTTCTTTTTGTTTTTACTTTACTTTGTCTCTGTACTGAGAACTTTTTGAGTATTTTAATAGAAAGTTTTAATTTTATTTTACTTATTTGAACTGTATCATAAGAAAGACCAAACTACATGAGAATTTTGGATAATAGAGTATCTATTTTAAGGGATATGTTTCTTTTAAGTGCTAACTATGGAAATAGTTAATGGTAATCCCTGTGGACAGCTTTCAGGGACTGATGAAAACCTGTTGATATAGCAATTACTTGTATTCAGTTGGCAAAACTGTTTTTTCATCTTCTAAGCATTGCCTAGGCTGTGTTGGGATTGGGCCAGACGTTTGTTGAATGAAGTCAATCCTTGCTTTACAGAAATTGCAGTGACAAAATTTAGCTCAGCACAGATGAGACTGAAAGTATGAGTCTAAATGTAATCTTCAACTCTGAAGACATCGATATACCCCAGTTATGATTTAATTAAGGTGTCATAAAATAGCAATGCCTTTTCACAGCTCCAAAACATATCTGTATTAATGTGATCTAGGTTAATTTGTGTACAGGTCAACACTGATTTGATTAATCTTACATATTTATGTTGCACTGTTCAGTCCAGACCATTATCATAAATTCACCTGTGTACTTTTTGTCCAATTCCATTCTTTCATATTTATTTCCCAATGTTCACATTGGAATACAACACCTTCTAGAGAGAAAGGAAAAAGAAAACACGTACAGACTCAGATAACATCAGGATATTTGAGAATATCTAAATATTTGTTGATAAAAATAATATGTGATGTCAGGGCCATAATGTTGTTTTTATTTGAGTAAAGGAATTTTTAGTAGATAGTAGAACAACTCTTTTCTTTAAAAATAAAATATGGCAAGTAATTTTCTGTACTAGAAAATCAGAATTAACTGAGACCAGATCTACAACTTAGGCAGGATTTGAAATTTTTATGATACTGAATGTTCCTGACATTTAACTAGGTTTTCTAGTATGCCCTTCAATCAAATGTTGAGTTTTCTTTACAAGGACCTTTACTTTTGTTGTTAAATTTAGTTCCTAGTACCTGACAATCTTGTTGCAAATGTGAGTGGAATTTTCTAAATCCACTTTCTTTTCTTACTGTTAATTACTGATACTTTTTTTTAAATGCTATTGATTTTTAAATATAAATAACTCGCTAAACTCTTATCCTAGTAATTATTTCATTTTGACATGTTTTATCATCGAAAATAATTAAAACTTTTCTTCTTTTCTAAAAGTTTATTGTTTCTTTAAATTTTGCCTCACTCTCTTATTTAATATGCCCCAAACTGTGTTGACTAATAATAATATTGGGCTTGCAGGCTTATTTTTGATTTTAGGGGGAAGCTATTGTTATCTCTGTTGCTATATGAAATACAGTGTTTTATAAAAAGTGTCTTTCTTGGTCTCTTTGAGGTGTTCATAAAGACTGGCTGTACTGTGATTCACATGCATATTCAGTCTGTTGATATAACGGCTTTTCTGCTTTAACTTAACACTGTAGTAGAATTAATGGATTGTTTTCTGCAGCCTTATTTGCATTTATGGTATGAACTTACTTTATTTTTTTGGTAGCACTGGGGCTTGAACTCAAGGGCCTTGTGCTTGCTTGGCAGGTGCTCTACAATTTGAGCAACACCATTAGCCCTTTTTGCTTTAGTTATTTTTCAAATACAGTCTTCAACTTTTGCTGGGGCCGCCCTCAGATATGATCCTCCTACATATTTGTTTTTTTAAAGAAATTATTTGTAATTCATTATATCACTCCCTAACACACACACACACACACACACACATTCCTGATAATCAAAATTTGACAAATCAGCATGAAATATTAATAACCCAAATAACCCGAAGATGAGCAAAAGATATAGTTCCAAACTAGGAGATGCAGCTAGCTAAGAGGCATACACTAGTGCTCATGGAAATAAAGTTTAAACAAAGACTGCATATATTATTTAAGCAAGAAAAATTTTAAGGTAAATATCATTTAGTGATGGTGGGATTACAGTGAAAGAAATGCTGCCCCACGGCATTCAAAAAAACACCCATATTCAAACCCCAGTCCCACAAAAAAAAAAAAAACACCCATAACCTTTTGAAATGCAATTCACAAGTATCTTTTCAGTGGCATATATAAATATATTTATTTGCATATTTTAAAAAGCACAGATATAATTACAGCATGTGTATTGCTGATTTGAACAAATTGTAATGTCAATTAATAGGAGTGTGGTTGAAAAATTTAGTACATCTGAATCTTGTAATGATAATTAATAAAAGGTACAGAGGCAGACATATTTAAGTATATCAATTTGAATGGCCATGATATACTATTAAAATTTAGTAACAAATGCTGAAAGTTTTTTACATTCAAAGATTTAAGTTTTTGAATTATCAAAGAGAAAAAAGCAACTTTTAGAATGTGTGCTATAACTGAGGCCAATAGGAAAAGGGGAACAGGTACTAGAGAAAAGGTTAGATCAAAAAGAATTAACCTAGAAGGTAACACCCAC